CACCTCTCACCCACCTCACCTCACCTCACCTCACTTTACTTTACTTTACTTTACTTTACTTTACTTTAATTTACCTAGGTATGTAAAATCTACGTGGTTTTGATTTACTTTACTTGAGAACTTCATCAAATAACTTAAATAATGTCATTTGAACACAATATGAATCAATAATGAAATCATCTAGTTCCAGATAAGTGTGTGATTGCGAGAATTTGAGTGTTAATATCAGATGAGGTGATCCTTTGAGTAACAGATATGCAGTAGCACTATCAAATAAATTGTAAATATATAAAAAATTGAATTTTCAAATGTAAAAGCCTGTCAAGGAGACGTCTACGCTGTGCTCGCAGACCTTTGGTATAATTATACGTTCGCGAACCAGCTATTAGTCATTGATAGCCACATTTGTTTGTATCCTCTGAAGACCACCAAACTAGTACGGGCGGGCGAATAAAAATCAGCCAAAAAATGATGCTAAACCACAGGAATAAGCTGGTATTGTGAATTTGCGGTATAGCCACTTTTACGACAAGCCGGCGCATGCTGGCCTCTTGTGGCATTTACGAGTCGGCACTGTACTGAGTTCTTGAGTTCCGTGGAGCTTCGGTAGCGTGGGTACCATCCTCCGTAGTTACCGCCGGCTCCCTGTTGTCGCTAGCTACCATGGACTACGGATGATGGCGCCCAGACCAGCGCTTCGGAGGCGGTGTTTTTTATTAGTACAGGCGAAAATCATAATCTCCTGAAGATCCCTTTCGGTGGCAAAAAGACAGTATCAATTTGGCCAGGCAGTATCCATTAGCCAGAGAAGGTCGCCAGCCACCGACGGTTAGTGGGGGTAGCGCCCAAAAAAACCCGGCCATATATAAAATGACAACGATCATTCCCCCACCACCTCTGCTTGGAGAGTACGAAAATCAATGCACACGCGGTTGCATCCATAAATTAAATCACTGTGACCTAAACCATGCGCACACATGGTCATTGGGAAAGGGTAACAGGAGCTTGTTTTATGATAATGACTTGTGTCCGCCTTCGATTTCGGATAATCTCATCGGTAATGGACTAACAATGAAGAGAGCGTGAAGTCACAATTCCACTAATTACATGCACGTACAAGTAAGCTGAATAGATCATTGTACAAAAGGTTTCTGACAGGTCCTCTGGTGGATCAAACTAACGTGGTAAAAAGTAAGGCGGGGTTGAATGGCGTAACGACAGAGCGTGCGGCTAGGAACCAAAAGTTCTCGGGTTCGAATCCTGCCATGCCACTGATCTTGTGCTCTTGAAAAAGACACTTTACACGAATTTTCTCACTTTACTCAGGTGAAAATGAGTATTTCTGTACGTTGAAAAAAAACTTAAGTGTACCGTCACCATGTCTTGTAATACATGTTGGAATAGAAAAAAAAGTAACGTTGTAGTGTCTAGTCCACATGTCACATAGGTATAAATAAATAAGGCCACGGCAAGTAATTTTATGGATGACATCAGCGCAAGCATTAATTTCCGCCTGATTTCGGAAGAAAACGAGCTTTCTTGCCCTCTGAACGTCTATCTGTTCAGAGACACAATTGCTTACGTTACGTTTGATGGCAAGTGTTGACAGTCCAAGGTGTTCAATCGCACATGAATACCCAGTGTAGTAGCTGTATACCCATGATGGTACGACAAGCTCTTTTCAAAAAGTGTCCTAGTTAATCAAAATGTACACACATCTACAAGGGCAAGTAATAGTGTTGAATAAAGGAATAAAAGACCTGTCGGTTGTGATGTCAAGTTTTGTCGCCTTATGACATTAATTTTGGAGTCCACGGAGGATGTCATACATAAAATGTACTTGTTGTGACCTAACTTTATTTCTCTGTAGGGCACAAGTTGGACTTATAGACTATGTGCAGCATATCTATAACATCCATTCTGCATATGAATTCATAATAGTATATTATCGTCCTCTATATGAACAAGACTGGCAATGAAAACATACATTGCCATGGCGACGGTGGTTGTTGCTAGGGTTATTGTTTGCATGGCACTGCCATCATGATTTTGAGGAAGCCTTGGTACCTGTTAAGTCTAGACAGATACAGTGCAGTCCTCCCCTGAGTGTATAGTGAATGAGCCCCAGGGTCACAGAAAGTAGGGCATCCAAAGCAGACAGGTTTTCCCAAGGGTTTCCAGGAATGTGGGCATAGAATGTGTGTCAGTAAACAGACCTGGGAGACATTCCTGTGGATATACCATGCCTGCGGACAAAATTCCTGTGCAATT